TTTTGTTTGTATATGCGATATGAAATTTTTGTGTTGTATCTAATAAACATAAGAATTTCATAAGTTGTAAAACTATTAAAATAATTCCAATTGTTTATTTCTTATCAAATAAATAAAAATTTATAAAATTGCATAATAAACTATTACAAAGCTATTTGTTCTCCACTTAAGTAATTGTTTTATCTAACTTTAATGAAAAAATGGTCAAATACCCCCTTAAGCTATGACAAGATTCTCAACTACACACTTATTCTTCACGGGAGTCCTATCACCCCCCTAAACTGTTTAAAATTAAAAAATTTACCCCCTTAAAATGTCACAACCACATTTATATTGGCAGGTGATATGCACATGTTTGACAACTGGAAATTTTATTTAAAACTTTTTTTTCTTTTTTAATTTATTATTCTAAAAATTATGTTGAAGGTCAAAAGGTTGAAATTTGTAGATTTGTGTCTTGAAACTTTTTAATTATAATGTTGATTGCTAATTGTTTGAAGCTGAAAACATTGGTTAATTGAGTTTATATATAGCTGCGATTTTTGAATCTGAAGAATGTGGGAACTCCATAAAAATCGACGAGCATTCATATGAATTTTGTGAATCTATATTCTTAAATTAGGAGAAACTGAGTTCGTCGATGGTTCAAAGAATATCATATGGCTGAAAATCGAAGCTAAAGGTTGAAACTTTGAAGTACAACTTGAAACCACCATTAAAGTTAGTTTATAAGCTTGAGTTATAATGTTTACTTACCACAGACGAGCTCCGTTTTGAATGGATAATAAATCAAAAGAATCGAAATGCTGAGATAAGCTTATATCTAAAATTTGAGGCAATTTGAAAAAGATTTAGGGTGGTTTTGCATCAAATTTTTGTAGCAATCATATAAAGAAGATGAAGAACATGAACTGCATTTTTTCAGATTTGCAAGAAATTACAAGTTGTTAAATCAGTTGAGAAGTATTATTTGTATTGAGCATGTGAATGATGATGCAGGGTGACATGTCATTTGCTGATTGGACTAGAAGTTAGTTAATTAGATATTTTCCCATTTTCAGTTAGTTAGGTTGTTAGAACTCTGGTTAGTATGAGTCGGTTACTACTACTATATAAACATTGTAATTGGTATACTGCAGTTTGTAATTTTTTATCTTCTTCTCAATACAATTTGAAATTCTCTCAACAATGGTGAAAGCTTCTTCTGTTGTTTTTGCTTAAGAACACAAGTTCATGATCAATTCAGTGATCAATTCATAGTGTTTAACATGGTATCAGAACTACAGTGAGTGAATCTAGGAGTTTCTTTTCACAGTGTGTTGGTGAAGAACTGAGAGATTCATCAATCGTAGTTGTAGATCGTTAAAGTTGATTAGCTATGGTGACTAAACCAGATCATAATCATCCTCTGTTTTTGTCTTCTTCTGATGTAGCTGGAGCTGTCCAGATTGGAATCCAGCTTGTAGGAATAGAGAACTACACATTGTGGAGTCGTGCTATGCGACTGAACTTGCTTACAAGGAACAAATTAGGCTTCATTGATGAGCTGGTCAAATGTGAAGACTTCAAAACTGATTATGAAAAACAGGACTGGGATCGATGCAATACCATGGTGATTTCATGGATTATGAACAATGTGAGTAAGGAGCTTGTTAGAGACATTCTCTTATGTTCAAGTGCACACACAATTTGGACTGATTTGAAGGATAGATTTGATAAAGTAAACATGTCAAGGATTTTTCACCTTCATAAGGCGATTGCTACATTGACTCAAGGAGTCTCCCATGTATCTGTCTATTACTCTAGGTTGAAGGATCTGTGGGATGAGTACGATTCCATCATCCCACCTCCTTCATATGAGTGCTCCAAGTCTAAGGACTACACTGAGGGACTATTAAGGCAGAAATTGTTACAATTTTTGATGGGACTGAATGACAATTACAGTCAAGCTCGCAGCCAAATTTTGTTGATGAATCCACCACCAGGTGTAAATCAATGTTAAGCCATGATCGTTCAGAATGAGAGTTAACGAATGTTATCTAGTGAACATTCATCTGGAAGTGCTCCCGTTGATCCAATAGCTTTGTCTTCTTACAGATATGAAAATTCAACTAATGTCTCTAACTATTCTAGTGGTGGAGGGTCCTCAGGTGGTAGTTCAGGAACAAGTTCTTCTAATAGATCAAGGAGGACTTCTTTTGTGTATTGTGATTTCTGCAACATGAGAGGACATTCAAAGAAAGCCTGCTATAAGCTCTTGCAATGTAGCTATTGTAACATGAAAGGTCATACCAAGGAGACTTGCTATAAGTTGATAGGTTATCCTGCAGATTATAAAGGAAAGAGGAAGGTTAATGCAACATGTGCAATGCCAACACAACTTCAGAACAATACATCGATGGAACAATATTTCACTCAGGATCAATACAATCAAATCCTTAGGATGCTGAATAAACCTATGCTTCAAGAGTCTACTGGTAATCTGGGAGGAGGTATACATGCTTCTAATGTCACTCAAGCAGGTACTAATGCTAATAATGTTTCTCCTAATTCTTTGCCTAATAAGCATTCTAAATGGGTAGTAGATAGTGGTGCCACTGGCCATAAGGTAAACAATAACTCCCTATTGAACACTGGTCTGACAGTCCCTAATCCAGACAAAGTGCAATTTCCAAATGGTGACTCTGCTATAACTCAGTCTGGAAATTGTCAACTAGATGGAGGTGATGTAGTTCATAATGTATTATGTATGTCAGCATTTCAATTCAATCTCTTGTCTGTATCCAAATTGACAAGGGAATTAAATTGTTGTGCAACCTTCTTTCCTAATTTCTTTATTCTACAAGATATCTTCACTGGAAGGGTGAAGGAGATTGGTAGTGAGGAAGATGGCTTGTATACAATGAGATCAAGTATTGGACATGCAAACAACATGATTCACTCTTTGACTGTTAAATGATGCAGTGAAAACGGTTAACATAAGAGAATGGGCCATATACCCATGACAGTACCTAGAAAACTTGATATAGTTAAAAATAGACATGATCTGTGTTTAATAATTGTGATATATGTCCATTGGCAAGACAAACTAGGTTTCCTTTTCTATCTAGCAGTAGTAGAGCTTCTCAATGTTTTGATTTGATATATATGGATGTATGGGGGCCATATAAATCTGTCACACATAATAACATGAGAGTTTTTCTAACCTTGGTGGATGATCACTCTAGATGGACTTGGGTTTTCCTAATGCACCTTAAATCTGATCACTATTCTTAGGAATTTCTTCCGTATGATTGCAATATAGTTTGGAAAGAAAATAAAGATCTTGAGGTTTGACAATGGTGGTAGTTTTTTAACACAGAATGTAGAAAATTGTTTGATGATCATGGAATTATACACCAAAGTTCTTGTCCCTACACTCCACAACAAAATTGAGTAGTAGAGAGAAGACACAGGAACATCCTTGAGACTGCTAGGGCTATCAGATTTCAAGGTTCTCTGCCTATTAGATTTTGGGGTGAATGTGTTTTAGCTGTTGTGTTTCTAATCAATAGAGTTCCATCCACAGTCTTGGGGAAAAAGTCCCCCTATTTCATGTTATATCATGCACAGGCTGATCTTTCTAACATAAGGACTTTAGGTTGTTTATGTTATGCCACCAACTTGATCAAGGGCATAAATTTGGGGCTAGAGATATTAAATCAGTTATGATGGGATATAGTGCAACTCAGAAAGGGTACAAACTTTGACTTGACAACTAAGTCTTTTTTGTGAGTAGAGATGTGCAGTTTTTGGAACATATTTTTCCTTTTCAGAATGGCAATCCAAGTGCTGAGTTCATAGTTGAGGATGAATTCTTGGTTCCTGGCAATAAGGTTTTCCCCTTAAATGATCAATAATTGGATTCTGCACAGTTAGCAGATATGTCTCCACATGTAGTTGTTTCTGATCATGTAATTGATCCTTTGATAGACTCACACATTACCACTCCAGTAGTTCCTGCTGCAATGGTTCCTTCTGTGGAGATTTCCCATGATGAGATCCCAAAATGTACTTTCACATCTGAGCATGCGAATGATGATGCTGCAGTTTCCACTAGGAAAACATCAGGCAGACACATTAAACCTCCTATCTGGCAGAAAGACTTTGTGATTGCTAATAGGGGTAGGTCTGCTCATTCGTGTTTATATCCTATTGCCAACAACATCAACTGTAGTGGTTTGTCTAGTACATATCAAAGTTATGTGGCCCAATTGTCAGCAGACATAGAACCAACTTCATATCATCAGGCAATACAGGATCCAAGGTGGATACAAGCAATGAAAAATGAAATTCAAGCTCTTGAGGACAATGGAACTTGGGCAGTTGTACCTTTACCAAGTGGTACGAAAGCTATTAGTTGTAAATGGGTATACAAAATTAAATACAGGGCTGATGGACAAGTGGAGGGGTTCAAAGCTAGACTTGTAGCTAAAGGGTTCAATCAAAGTGAAGGTCTTGACTATTAGGAAACTCTTTCTCCTGTTGTGAAAATGGTGACGATAAGAACTGTGATTTCTCTGGATGCTATTAGAGGTTGGTCCATTCAGCAAATGGCTGTTTACAATGCATTTCTACAAGGTGATTTAAATGAAGAGGTGTATATGCAATTTCCACAGGGTTTTAAAAATGGGACACAAGATCTCAAGGTTTGCAGGTTGCTTAAGTCTCTTTATGGTCTGAAACAGGCTTCAAGGCAGTGGAATGTCAAGCTTACATCTGCCCTTGTCACAACTGGTTTTAAACAGAGTCATTTAGACTATTCTTTACTAACCAAAAGGTCATCAGATGGGATAATGATTGTCCTAATATATGTTGATGACTTATTGATCACAGGTAGGAGCACAACCTTGATAGATGATGCCAAACAAGTTCTGAGTGACAATTTCAAAATTAAGGACGTAGGAGACCTTAGATATTTTCTTGGAATTGAATTTGCTAGATAGACAACTGGCATTCTCATGAATCAAAGAAAGTGTGCACTTGAGCTCATTTCAGACTCAAGTTTGAGTGGTTCCAAGACCATTGCCACACCTGTTGAGCTAAATCAAAAGTTTACAACTTGTGAGTTTAATAATCATATTGGTGGTCCTCCTGATCCTGTCTTAGCAGATCCAGGGAAGTATCAAAGACTTGTTGGTCGACTGTTATATTTGACTATTACCAGGCCGGATATTGCCTTTGTTGTCCAAAGTTTAAGCCAGTTCATGCATGCTCCTAAGCAATCCCACTGGGATGCTGCACTCAGGGTGGTTAATTACATCAAACAAGCTCCAGGTCTTGGGGTTTTATTGTTCTCTTTTAGCTCAGCTTCACTCCAAGGTTTTTGTGATGCTGATTGGGGCCTTGTATAAACACTAGAAGGTCTATTATTGGTTATATGATTAAGTTTGGAGACTCTTTGATCTCCTGGAAATCCAAGAAACAACCAACTATTTCTAGGAGCTCAGTTGAAGTTGAGTATAAGAGTTTAGCCTCAGATGTTGCTGAAATTGTTTGGCTGATTGGTTTGTTCAAAGAACTCAATGTTGAGTTGCACTTCCCAATTTCTTTGCACTATGACAGTAAAGCTGATTTTTATATTGCTGCCAACCCTGTCTTTCATCAGAGGACAAAACATATCGACATAAATTGCCATTTCATTCGGAAAAAGGTTTAGACTGGCCTTATTCACACAAAGTACTTGGCTACTGTTGAACAACATGCTGACATATTAACTAAGGGCCTTGGTCGTTTTCAACACACTTATCTACTTTCCAAGCTAGGAATGAAGAACATCTTCATACCACCTAGCTTGAAGGGGGTATTGAGCATGTGAATGATGATGCAGGGTGACATGTCATTTGCTGATTGGACTAGAAGTTAGTTAATTAGATATTTTCCCATTTTCAGTTAGTTAGGTTGTTAGAATTGTGGCTAACAGTTAGATTAAATTAACTATGGTTAGTATGAGTCGGTTACTACTACTATATAAACATTGTACTTGATATACTGCAGTTTGTGATTTTTGATCTTCTTCTCAATACAATATGAAATTCTCTCAACAATGGTGAAAGCTTCTTCTGTTGTTTTAGCTTAAGAACACAAGTTCATGATCAATTCAGTGATCAATTCATAGTGTTTAACAATTTGAAGCTGAAATAAAATTTATCTATTGAATTGACTGTCTGGAACTTAAAGAAAAATCTTTAAATCGCCATCGAACTAGCTTCGAACCGGAGAGAAATCAAATTCCAAAAATTACAAGCGCATACAAAAATTTTCATAGGTCTTTTGGGTATTGAATATTGGATCAATAATTTTCCTTGTATTGAAATTTTAATCGAAGAAAATCAGTTGAGTGTCACTGTATTAAGCTTAAATTTGTTTTGATTTGAAAATTTTTGGGTCTGTAGTTCCTGATTGTGGAGAAAAGAGATGAAATTATTATCTACGATTTGTGGTGTATTGATTAATATAATAATGACGGTGATTTCAAAATGGTGAGAGGTGGTATAATTTGATGGTTGCCATTGATGCTCTACTAAGTTGCTATGGCGAAGAAACCAAATTAGAAGTAGAAACAAATAAGAAAAAAAAATTAAAAAAAATTAAACAAAATATATTTATGAAAAAATATTAAAAGGAAAATTTTAATTTTTTTTTTTTATCTTCACTCTCTCAAGGAGAGTGCAATACACTCACTTTGCCATGCAGACATTTAGGGTGGTAATAATTCTAGTTTTAAACAGTTTAGGGGGGGGGGGGGGTTATAGGACTCCCGTGAAGAATAAGTGTGTAGTTGAGAATCCGGTCATAGCTTGAGGGGGGCATTTGACCATTTTCTCAACTTTAATTGATTAAACTTTAATTCAATAAAAAAAATTGAACATGAATTGTAATGTACTAGTTTTTAATATATTCCCTTACATAGTACATACAATCTCCTCACGTTGAACTTACATTTCTCGATCATATGACCGAGAAGACGAACCAATATTGTTACTTTAAGTCATTTGTTGGTCAATATCATTCACAACTATATTTTCATGCTCATAGACCATAAATATTTCATCACTCCTTTGGTATTCTCGCAAATAATTATGTAATACTGCACAAGCTATGACAATTTTCACTTGTGTGTCAATATCATAATGATTCATATCTTGTTTCACTTGTGTGCAATTACACATTTTTAGTGCATTAGCTTTGTACTAAAATCAATCATATTGAAAATAGTGATTATCAAACATACATCACCAATTTTGTCTTTTTTCATATTAAATTGTTTAAACATTTTCATATGTAGCCAAAAGAGAAAGTTTTTTTTAATTATGAAAAAACAAAAAAATATTACTCCCTCCGTTCTTATTTATATTCATCAAATTAATTCGCACTTTATCATTTATATTCATCAAATTTAAAGTAATAATAAATTTTATGTTGGTGAGAATAATAAATTTTAAAAAGTAATGATGTAATTATAAGTTTTATTTACATATGAGATAAATAGTTAGTAAATATAAATGTGGAGTTGTTTTAATAAAACTTAAAGGCCGATAAAAAGGGTTGATGGAATTGGATTAGTTTTTGAAGTAGCTAATCCAAGAAAACCAAGCATATGTATGACAAACATAAATACCTAAAAAGTTGCATCACGTTGCCACTTTTATTTCCTTCAAAATAGTATATTTGTTAGTGGGAGTTTCTTGAATCTTGTGTTCTCCCATCTACTCTGCTCTCCGTTCTATATTAGTTTATTATTTCTCTCTCTTTTTTAACGCATATTAAAGAAATATAAATGTAAAAATAATTTTATTAATTCACTCTTTAAAACCTTTTTTAGAAATTTTACAAACAATTATAAATACTTTTAAAAAGAATTAATTACAAGAGTAATATAGAAAAAAATTGATTAATTCTTTGATGATTTAATAAAAGGCATAATGCATAAACATGACCCTTAACTTGATGCCAGTTGGCAACTATGATCTTTAATTTTGGGTGTGCACAAGTAAACACTTAAACTTGTATAAAATTGAGCAAATGGACACATTCGTCCTACATGACGTCCTACGTGTATTGTGCCATGTAGGACACTTGCATCTATTTGTTTAATTTTATACAAGTTTAAATGCATATTTGTGCACATTCAAAATTAGAGGGCATAATTGTTCGCTGAAATCAAGTTAAAGGTATTGTTTATGTACTATGCCTTTCATAAAACAGACAACTAAAATGAGAGGAAGAAACTACCTTTTTCCTTCACCAAAAATTGCAAGTTGCAACTACTTCACCACTGCATTTTTTAAAATTTGTCTGCCAAATTGCTAATTGTTTGTGTTATTTTCCTCATAACCCTCGAGAAAGTGTCGAATGGTGTAAATTTTATAGTTACAACTTGTGATCCCCTTTTGATCTCATTAGAATGAAAAATATAGTCTTCATTTACTTGTCAGTTTTTTAACATATTAAAAAAAGATTTTATATATATATATATATAGTTTTTCAACTTTTTGAGATATAATAAAAAAACAATATTGTTGATAATTTTCTTCTAAACATTTTAATATTTTCTAAGACATCATTGATTTTAAATAATAGAACTTGATTCAAGGAATTGACAACTTGATATTAATTGTTTTTGTTGGTATTTCATATTTCAGTATAATTGTTTCGATGCTTGTGCTTTTTTTTTTAAAAAAATAATCAAGTTTTGAAATCTAAAAAATAAAAAATGCATGATATACTTTTTTTAATAAAAAAATTAGTTTCTATTTTTAAATACTTAATATTTTTAAAACAAATATTGAGTCTATTATAGGTATTAAAAAAAATTGGGCCTTTCCTTAACATAATATCTTGGTTTGAACTTTAGAACGAAAAATATTTTCTTTGTAAAGAGTGTTTTCCTCTTTAATGATAGTTAAGGTGTACTTTGTTTCATTGTTTGGATCAGTGTTTTCAAAAATATTTTTGGGACGAGTTTCAGGGCAAGTTTTGGGGAGGGGCGTATCAAAAATGCTTTGGAACGTAAATTAAAGGCGTAAGTTTTAAAATTTGAGGCGTAAGCCTCGAGCATAAAAACATAATCCCTGGGCGTAAAAACGTAGGCCCGGACGTTTTTTTATATTTTTTAACCTTTTTTGCTTTAAATCATATTTTTTATTATTTATGTAATGATATTTCTCAAATAGTAATTAAAATACTTTTTTTTCTTCATTATTGATTATTAATACTTATCTTAACAAAATATAATTTCTATATATTATACATTATTTATAAAAAAATATTTGTAAAATCATTAAAAGGCTTACTTTTGCTTATTTTATTAGTAATAAAACTATAAAAATTGAATATACATGAGACTACGCCCCGTAGAACCATAGGACTTACGCCCCGTGTCTCGGGGATTATGCCTCGCCCCATACGGTATAAAACGCCTCGTCTCACGCCCCCGCCTTTTAAAACACTGGTTTGGATGATTGTTGCATATTGTTTCACAATGTATATTAATTGTAATCGTATTGTATTGTTTTAATAAATATATTATTTGGATAAATATGATTGTTTTCTATCACTATATATATATAATATTACACATACATACAATTTGAAAGAGAAACTTACAATTGATTACACCAAATTGTGTTAGGGTTTTGCCTTGATTTTCTTACCATAATTTAAGATTTATTTTTCCTTAAAGAAAAGACAAAACATTACCATAAATATTTTTACTTTTCCTGAAAGAAAAAATATAATATTCTTTCATATTTGGTTTATTCTTTCCTTTTAGGAAAAGGTTTTTGGAGTAGCTAGTTTTTTTCTAGTAGGAAATGTTTTAGGATTCTATAAATATAGGTTTGTTTCTTCTAACACAATAATAACAAAAAATCCACAATGTAGTCGTTTAAGAGTCTTGTTTATGGGGAGATTTATTCTCTCTAAAGTTTCAATGTTTTTCTTTATATTAGTTTTGATATAATAATATTTTGATTTTTAGTATAAGTTTTTGTTATCTAATTTATCAACTATATGATTTGCAAATTGTAAGCTTCCGCATGACGCCCTAATCACCCTTCATAACCCAACAAATTGCTCGTTACACAAAATGAGAATTTGTGCCGTTATCAAACAATAACAATACGATACAATAAAATTTAAATAGCAATCAAAACAAATATTATACATTTAAACTAATAACACGATGCCATACAATTGGTAACAATTATCCAAACAAATTGTAAATGCATGAATCCAAATTAATTGAGATCCACAATATAAATATCAAACACCGATCTTGAGAACTATTACTTTAATTTCTTCCCCTTCGACCGATCCTGATTTTTTGTCCTTTATCATTTTTTTCGTATGG